AAGTTGAGTGTAAATCATACATAAAAGACACTCAACAGTCTTCATTATCTGCGGGTATCTAATTAGCCTATCCATTTATTATCCGTAGCGAATTTTACCTGCAGATACCCACGGGTGCGGGTATTTTTGTCATCCCTACATGGAAACAAATGGTTTGGATGAATTCATTGTGAGCATTTGAAAGTTGAAGAATTATTGATAGAATTTATAGTAATTTCTTTAATTTTTTTCGTAAAAAATATTCCTGTAGAATTTCTTGCGAAAAAATTTGCACGAAACTTCCCTGAGAATTTTCCTGCGAATTTTTATTTTTGCAGGTATAACTTTCCTGCGAATTTTTTTTGCAAGAAATTTCGTAGAAAAATTTCCTGCTAATTTTAAAATTCACAAAAATATATTATCCACGAAGGTTATTACCTGCAGATAAAATTTTGCAGAAAAATTTATAGGAACAACATTTTACTAAGAAAAAAATGTCGCATGTAATAAGAAAATTTCTAGTAGTGCGTTGATTTTACTATTTTAGTTTGTGAATTTTCAACATTTTTCCATAATTATCTGGTCATGTCAATTAATGACGATCTTCAACCAAATTTAAATGAAAAAGGACATTGTCATGTACTAATGTACAAAGATACTTCATATCTTTGTGAATTATTTTTAAAAATAATAAATACTAAAAATTATATAATAGTTGATAGTTATTAAAAATATAAGTGGTTATAAGGTTAAAGAACTTTCTTTCCGGTACCCCTATTCATCTTGGGTTGGTTCCCCTGCTGCCTGTCTAAATTTTTTGGACATATACTCGATTTCTGACCATATGAGTACATAGGGTGAAATTCTTTAACTGATTGTGCCTAAGCTACTAGCAATATTATACTTGTGAGAGATCACATACTGTCATCATCAAAGGTATCTCAAACACTGTCCTTGTGTGAAATCTGTGGTAAATCACTTAGTAATTGCTTATTAGGTGTCGTATCTTTTGTTACTGTGACTGTAAAATAGGCACCGTATTTTTTAGTTGCTACAAGTATTCTTTGGCCTATTATATTTGTATATGGGTTAGAGTACCTCTTGTACTCCTTTTTAATAAATCTCTTTTGATTAGCAAAAAAAAAAAAAAGAAGTGAAATTTTTTAAAAAATTATAATTTTTAAATGGGTATTAATAGTATAGATTATTTAAGTATATTAATACTCCAACATTTTTTTCAGTTTAAAACATCAATTATCTCTTAAATTTTTTGATTAAATCTTTAAATTATTTTAAAAAATTGTAATTTATATTTTAATTAAATCCTTTTGATTAATTCGTGGTGGTTCTAAACCGTTATAAAAGTTAAAATTTTGTGAATAGCTTTACTAACTCCGATCAAATTATAATTCTTTAGATTAGGATCTAGTTAAAACTTCTACAAAAGTAAATAAAAAAATTAGTTGACCTACAAATGTATTACATTTTTTATTAATTATATTAAATTAGCTCCTTTGGTTGAATTAATAATGAATGTTCAGGCCAAGAGAATTTCGTCTTCCAAGCATCCCCGGCTACTCTGCTACGCCAAAGTGTAGCGACTATTAAATTTACTAATTAAGATTCTTTTTATTCGTAAATTACCTAATTAAGATTATAAAAGCATTAGTAGTAACACTATTTATATGATATTTTATACCTTTCAAAACTAAAATGGTAAACGGTTCACCAGGTTTTCAAGAAAAGGAAAAATAAACCGTTTCTATACCAAAATCATTTCCTGCAAAATGTGGTCATAAGGTTTCTTATACTGTGACTGCCGCTGGTCTAAAACTGTCCAATTGAACACAAAATTTCTTGTTAGATAAACAATTGATTATTCTCACAACATGTAAATTCAAGATATCTAATTACTATACCAACCTATCATGTTATTTAACACAGATTAAGTGAAGTAGGTTTTACTTCTTTGAATAAATTTTTTTATATACACAATCACGCATGACAAAAAACCAAATTCACGGGTAAAATTTGCATTACCATTAACCAAACGACATTTTTACGGATATAATATTTTAAATTTCTAACATTTAAATTTAGAAGGGGATATTAGAAAACTTTATTCCTTTCTTATACAACAAAAATATAATATGATGCCTTCTATATACATATCATATGTTCAATTTCTGTCGAATTGTTCTAGTGTGGTATACCGTTAATTAAGGAAAATTTAAGTTATAAAAGGGTTAAAACAGATCTCTGAACTTGAACAATTCCAACGAACTTCAGCATTCCATGGAGATACTTTAGGATGATCGATTCCAACAAAGTTGTGTTGAATACGACAAATTTGATGAGCCTGAAATCTTTGTTGTGCCATAAACCAAAGACCTGCTCTGAGGTTGCATGGATCTTCATGATTTCTCAACATGTATTTTGGTGACTCAAAATGATATCATCATTCTTCCAAGAACTCTAGAGGTAACAACATTCTCTTTATTGTAACTCATATATAACACTCATCAATGTTGTTAGTTGATACCCTTTTTAATTACATTAGGTAATGATTTCACAATTACATATGTATAATGTTTAAGTCGACCATCTAACCTTGTCATAATTAAATTAGTGTGATTAACAGGCACTATTGTAAACGACAAAGTGTGTAATAATTTGAAAAGTAGAAAGTTAATAGGGTGCCTTTTTATCAAAGATTTATGGAAGGACAGTGATGTAGATTATTGAAAGATGAAACACTGAGACATCTAGGCCAAAACTTTAGTGTTCAATGCTGGGATCACTCACACAAAGTGGAATCAACTTGTAGATTCTGATACCCCTTTTGTTCCTATCAAAAATAGCCTAATTTGGAACAAATTGCCAAATTGAAGACCTCCTCATTGTCCCTTTTGATGATGATTAAAGTAGGTCTAGCTAGAATCCCTTTTTGAACATATCATGATAACACCCTTCACAATTATTTCATGAAAAATCTCTTTGGGGCATCACTTTCTGTCCTAAAAGCCTTTCCATTACTTGCTTTCTCCATGCATCCTGGTCTGCTTTGCCAGGAAAAAAAAGCATGGCATTGCTCTCATTACTCTTTGTGCATGAATATAACTTATAAGCCATTGTCAATTTGTCACTTATTACATATTTAGCTCAACTTTATAAAACAAGTTTGTAAAGAGAATTGTTCTTATTTTTATCTATTATTTTGTTTATATCATTAATCAATGTGAGATTTTTAATATACATGAGGATTAGATAGATATCTTAAACGTAAAATTTTTATAGTATTTGACATCTGCGAATAAATCTACTAACAAATAATCTAATAAAATTGCTAAAATAAATTATGACATTTAAAATAAAGATTGCTTATTACTTAATATATTTTGATCATATTACTGGTCGATGTTATACCTCCAAGAGATATAACATATAAGAGATTGTCCATGACTATCATAATTGCCTAAGTAATTTCATTCTTCCACGAAATAGTGTTTATAATGTTCAAATAATATCCAATAATGACAAGTAAACAATGTGTGTTTCCTTTTTCTGAATGTTTTTCTCTGTGGATAACACTGCATCAAGAGATTAGATCTACCAGGGAAATAAATAAAGCATTTGCTTGTGTACACAGCATACTTGGAAAATTCTTTGGACTATGCAGCTTTTTCTTTTGTTTTTGGAACACCTTTTGCTTTATGAGAAAAGAAAACAATTAATGGACTAGTTGCGTAATATGTTAACTAGTTGCACATTTCATGCTATTGAGTTGAGGCAGGACCTAGGGTGACATGAAAGATTGAAAGATACTGTAGAATATGTTATTGCCACAGAATTACAAAACAAAAGACATACATAATATGTAGATAAACTTGAGATAAATTTCTCAATAAAAAAATTCTAAAAAGTGTGTAGTGTTGATAGCTTAGAAGCAAAAGGATTAGTGGTGGCTTGATTCGGATAGTTGCAGAAGCATATGCTTTGGTATAATGCTTAGAATTTGCAACCTTAATGTTATATATGAACAAATTATTAAGACTTGCCTATCTATGAAGTGTTGTGTATGGTAACGAATGTGAGTTATTATTGGCAAAGAAAAATAAATGGCATTGTTTTTTTACCCTAAATTTGCTGAAAGGAAAAAAGGCACAGGTTTGAACAATTATAGTGCGTAAGCGCACTCATGCCAACATTGTGTTCCTTGCCTAGGTGTCAACTAAGGAATTTCAGCATAAAGTAATAACAATAGTAGCACTCACCATGCTTCCACAGTCAAATTTGACTTCAAAAGAAAATTATATATATATAAAAAAAAAACAGTTTACACTTGAGACATGTTCGGATAAACATCATCAAAAATATTTTTAAGAAAAAAAATAGAAAGAAAAGTTGAAATAAATTTCCTAATAAATTAAAAATAACTTAAACATAGGTTTAAAATAAGATTTTAGAGAAATTATTAATTTTTTTTATAAATTACATTATACATAAGTTAATTTAGTTTATGAATAAGTTTATTTTATTTCTTTATTTTTCTCTCACAAAAGTATTTACCAAACATACCCTTATTTGTTAATATAACTTTGTCCATTTCAATAGACATTTAGCAAGGAGTAATTCTAACATGATCTAACGTCTCTTAGGTGTTATTAATAAAAACTCCAGATGGCACTAATACCCTTAGAACATCTTCAATGTTACTTATTTAACTAGTTTTTTTTAGTTCAACTATGTCATATCAATTTTAAATTTTTTTAGCAACTTTTCACTTCTATGATATAATTCTTTAAGAATTTAAAATGGGTTTCGTAACTTATCTCACATATTTATATTTTTTAATAGGTCTCACAAGAAATCATATTTTAATATGTTAAGATCAGATTTTGTAAAAGAATTATTTTATACCTAACTTCGATTTTATGTGACTCCAATGGTGAAAACGTATGAAAACTAATTTTTAAGTATAAGAATCCCATAAGTAATTTTTCTCGGTGATTGTAGAATAATCCAAAATTTAATTTCAGTTCAAAAAGTGCGAGTCTATTATACAATTCATTGAATTTTTCTGACTTTGGCTTAGCAAGCTTTTCTGTGACTGGAAGGTCATGGTTCACGGCCAATAAGTAATGTCTATAAACTTGTGAAGATTAATGATTCTGCAAACAGAGACGTCATTTACCTTTTATGAAAAATTCATTCTGGCCGTCTTTGATAGTTTTGAAAGGAGAAAGGGAGAAGTCCAAAAATTTATAGTTTTAATAATTATTTTCTAAGCAAATAATATGGCATTTACTGTGTAAAGGTAGTTTACTTTGAAAAAAAGCTTTTATGCTTTCAATAACCAAAGATTTTAACGAGAAAGAAGTGGAATAGAAGAAAGTAAAAGATAAGAGAAAATAAATAGGATAAATAATTTTTTTAGTTGTTTAAATTAAGAGAAATAAAGAAAGATAATAAAATAAAAAAAAGTAAGTTGTGATACAAAATCATATTTACCTCTATGGCATAATTGTATAATTTAAATAAAAAAAAATATACATGTTATTATTACTTTTTAGTGGACCCTTTTTCTCCTTTCTTCCACAAAATCTCATCACACGAGTAGCTAGTGATTTGTTTTTTTTTTTTTTTTTAACGTAAATCCCACCAAACTCTTATCCTTCTTTTACTTATCTTTTTCCTAAACAATAAAATACTTTTATTGTTTTTCTCACTTACTTTTATCTTTTTGAAATCACAGTAACCAAACAACTTATATTCTCATTGAGATACAAATTGTGGTAAATCACTCCATTTTTATAATAATTATCTTAAAAGTCAAACTATAAAAATGATTTTTAATTACTTAATAATATAACTTTTTATCCTAATAATAAATGTCTATTAAACTTTAAATTATATAAACACCTCAATCTTTCATTTATTTATATATTATAACTTTTAATTTAAAAAAAATGCAATCCCCATCCTTTTTCTCCAAAAATTCCCAAACAAGGCTTGAACCGAAGATTTTATGGTCTCATTACTTGCATCTGTATCTGGAACCTTTAATATACACTTATTCTGCCACCCCACCGTGTGTGCCTAATCCCCACTACAGTTTCGTATCATAATTAAACAAAGTGGTATCCATCTCACTCAAGCACCAACGTTAAAGACAGGAAGAGAGATGCATGCATGGAGATCAATGTTATCTTCTGTCTGTTCAATGGCTAGTTTTCCATATATATATATATATATATAGGATATTTTTTTAGTGTTTACAGAAAGAAAATATCCAAAAATATTTATACTTGTGAGTCGTGAACTCATCACCAGCTCCTGTTTATTTACCCTCCATATAGTCTTTCTATCTGTTCATGCTGTATTTGCTAACTCGTGGAAATTGTGTTTGTTTTTGTTGTCTGCTTGCTCTATTTTACATGTTTTTGTTGTATTTGTTAAACTTATCCCTCTAAATAAAATTTCATGTTTGAATTTTATGGATAAAAGAAACATAATTGAAAAAAAAAAGATTTCATTAAAGTTGTTCAACTGACATAATAAAAATTAGTTACCAAAAAGGTTAATAAATTAATTCTACATACCAATAATATAATCATAAAAAAAATATAAAGATTGATTAATACCATGTGATTCCGGATCATACAATAATTTTCTTATCATAAGAACAATGATACACAAGGTTAATTCATAAAATTATAAGTGTAAATAAATTTTTTCTGTGAAATTATATATAAAAATATTAGTTAACTAAAATTAACTTAGTTTAGTTAACAATGGAGTACACTTCGCTAGTCAACTTTCAACCTTTTGTATACTTATCATATGAAAAAAGAATTAATGGTTAGACTGGAAAGGCAATTTACTGAAGTCATAAATATGGAAATAAAAAAGATAAAGGGCATCATGATAGCACAAAAAGGTAGGCACGTCATTTATGATTTATTTTTATTTTTATTTTATTTTTATAAGCTTGATGATGATGGAGTAGGACATGCATTTTTACACGGAATATATTCTTATCATACATTACCATTTGTCTCACATTATATATTCCTTGTATATGTATACAAGTGATGTAATTGGCGTAGATATGGAGAATGGGTAAGGCCAAACATTTAGGTTAGGTGTTAAAAGCTGAACAAAAATCCAATGTTGTGTGTCATGCATGTGTGTTTCATTCTTTTCCAAACCTTAAAGAGGTTTGGCCAGTAAGATATTCTATGCACAGAGAAGGAGTAACCTTCCAAAATTTCCAATTGGTCACCTAACAATCCGTTTGAAGATTCTGTCTGAAATTGAAACATAGAAAATTGAAATCCTAGGATTTGTGTATTGTAACCCTTATAAAGATTTTGCCGGTGAAAGTTTATCATGATGGTTAGGTTGGGCTTCTTTTACTGTTTCTTTCCTTTAAGCTAATGATGTTATTTACGTATAATTTTACATATATTCATATCTAAGTTGATAGTCATCTATCAGTTATTCAAGTTTGGAAATAACTAGTAAAATAAATAAATACATAAATGGGGAAACAAGTACATATATAATTAATATAGGAGACTTTCATTTTTCCAACTATTAAAATGGAGTGTACTGGATCGGTCTTGTAGGCTAATACTTTTAAGTGGACTAATTTGGTTTTATTTAAATCTTTTATGAATTATTTATTTTTTAATTCAACTTGTTTTTAATCAGACTGAATTGATCTATTTTATTTTATTTTTAATTTTATTTAAATTTTACAAATGCAAATAAAAAAAATATCATGCCAAATAAATCAATAGATTTTAGACTTGAAAACTATTGGCTTAATTCTTTTAGGGCCACTTTTTTTTTATTTTTTTTTAAGCTTAGTCAACTTGCTGGACAATTTTTAACATCTCTATATTCATTTTAACTCTTAAAATGACTAAACCCAAATAAAGTCAAACATGTATGAGTATATATTAATTCGTCAATTATTTTAATTAGCTTATTTTTAGATTATTTCAATTTTTATGGTAGGATAATTGATCCAACTTTTAAACAAGAGATTCATAAGTTTGTAAAGTTAATTACATGAAAGCTAATCATCTTAATGAGAAGGCTTAATTATACAAATAAAAATAATTTATCTATAATAATATGAATACTTGACATGTTCCAGTATAATCTTACCAAATTTTCTTAAAATGGTAATACTTTTTATTTTAAAATAGAATATTTAATAAAAATTACATTTAAAAAATTTTCGATGTTGATAAGCCAATCTGTCAATTATATACTAGGCTTTACACCAATACTCAAAAAAGTTAAACCAGATCAAAATTAAGAGAAAATCCATATTAAGCAAGTGTTGTCTTATATTTTTAAAATAAGTTAAATCTATTATCGATAAGACGATAACTTGATTGTTTCCTTGCCTATAAATATATAAGATTTATTTTTCCATTAAACTCGAAAGGACTACCTTATTTCATATTATATAAATTCTGCATACAACTCGTAAGTTGTAAGAAAACCTGAAAAATAAAAGTATGCATATTATTGGAAAGATGACAAAAGTATAAAAAAGATAACAAAGAGAAAATTATAAAAGAGATAAACAACGTAATGAGAAATATTTACGCTCATGACATACTCTTTTTAAATTTATTCAATGACACTCTTTAAAATACATTCTTTTTTTAGTAGTTAAATTTTATTAAAAATCATAAAACGAGTTTCATATTTTAAATATATTATTTTTAATAATTTTTTATTAATAAAATAATGTAATTTAAAATATTAAAAAATATTTTGCTAGCACTATTTATTGTACATCACCAACACTAATTGATACAGTAAAAATGACTTGTGTCTCATTACCTCAAATCTTAGTTTTGAGTATAAAACAAATAATATTTTAAGATAAATATTCACTTTATATGTATTTACCATCTTTAACTGAGATTCACTGTTACATCACCAACACAAATCGATACAGTAAAAATGATGACTTGCTTTATACGGTGGATATTTAGTAACAATTTTAAACGAAGTAAAAAGAGACATAGGGTTTGTTTGTTTAAACTCTTTTTCCTTTAAGAACACTTCTTTTTAGTAAAATAAGTACTTTTTTTTTCATTTTTTGATGTGCTCGTTTAAACTTTTTATTATTATTATTTTTTAAATAAGTAGTTTTCTATTTTATTTTTAAAAAAAAAAACAACTCTTATCTACCTTTTAAAAATAATATTAATTTTTTTAAAATATTTATTTAAAAACACTTAATTTTAAATTTAAACAAACATATCGAAGGATATATATAAAAAGTAAGAGCAAAGAAATATATGATTGTTAAATTTATTTACACGTGGAATACTCCAGTCACTTGGATTATAGCAACATGATGTCAACACTTACAACAGATACTACTTTGCAATAAAATACTAATATCCTTGGTTTGGTTTTGGTTACGTGGAGCAGGGAGAATGGTTTTGGACGTGTTAAGCATGCAACGGTCACGTGTCAAAGAAGAGGGGAGTGTGTGTGTAATAGAAACAACCTGATGCTATGCACGATTGGCTCTGATCCCTTTAACGCAATCATAACGCCATTCTCAAAACTGAAAGTGCGTTCTAATAGCTTTGCACTTATATCAAGTGACGGGTAATATAAAACAGCTACCAGCAAATCAGGTAACGTTTTCTCAAGTGACGTGCTTTTTGGTGTGTCATGCTTCAAAGTGAAAGTTCTCGTGTCCCATTATAATGAGCTAAAGACATTTCTCTATATATATGTGTGTATAATACAATCTCCAAAGAAGTTTAAGGTGGTGCTGCTATTTGAGTTGAGTGCACAGTGATTTGTGACTGAAAAGGCCAAAACATGATCATGAGGAAGCACAACCCACTTTGGTTTGTAGTACTGTTCATGTTGTCCTCTTAGGCTCATTTTGGTGAAGTGAACATTAGAGTGCTGGGTTGGGTTGGTTGGTTGGTTGGTGTGGTTGCTTCTTTTTGTAGGTGCATTATTTGGTGTCTCTTTTTCATGGCTGGTGGACAGAGACCACAGAGGCTCAACAAGTCATGCATTCTCCTCATAGGTAAAAACATGTTTGTGTCTGCTTTTGTGTTTTCAACCATGTTGCACTTTAATTTGCTTAACATGAAGCATAGTAGTTGTTGTAGAGAACCATGTTTGAATGAGAAGAGGGAAGTATCCTAATTTCGTTAATGATTTTGTCTTTATAGTTCTAAGTAAATGTTTCCTACTAAGCATCTTTTGATAATAACATCTTTCCAGAGATTTCAATCCTTAAATGGATCTTAGTAATTCGAGAGATCAGTATTTAACTCAGCTAGATACTAGATTCACCAAAAAAAAAATAGAAAAAAAGAAAAAAACTTGAGAGTATGTGAAAAGGGAAAAAATCCATTAAAAACTGTCCTATTCTAGCATCTTCTAAAATCTCAGAGAAGAGCCAGAGTCAAGAATCTAACCAATAGTATAATTCTAGTGATCATGCCTTTTTAATTTTCTGTTATGACATTTTTGGGATTAAAACTAACTTTGATCACTGTTTGTTGTGCACTTTGACAGCCATTGCAGGAATGGAGAGGTTTGCATTCAAGGGGGTAGCATCCAATTTGGTGACTTACCTAACTGATGTTGTGAACTTGAGCAACTCATCTGCAGCAAAGATGGTTAACAGCTGGGTTGGATTTACTTCCATAATGCCATTGCTCGTGGCACCCATTGCTGATGCATATTGGCACAAATATTCTACCATAATGGTCTCATCTTTCCTCTATTTTGTGGTGAGTCACCCCCCACAAATTTACTTTCACCCTTTCACATGTTTTTAGAAAATTAACTCCCTCACCATTTGAAATTCTGTTTACAAATTAGTTACTATTGGAGCTTCATTATACCTCTTTCAGTTCTTTTTCCTTTAACTTTATTGACACATGCATGTATGTGGCTGGTAATTTGACAGACCTACTTTGTGCATAACATATTATTAGGATATCCATTAAGTTTGTTGGAGTCTGAGTCATAACCAATCTTCTTATTTAAGGATATATGAGACTAATGAATTCTAGAGTTTTGTGGACCAATTGGATAGTTCCAGCAGCCAGAGAAAAAAAAATGCAGTTATTAATGTTTTGGAACATTCAGGAAAAATTAATGAACATTTCACCTTGTCTCAACCTTAGTGTAATAGTGCCACATCTTTGAAGCCATATTCTATACAATATCTAAGCAAACTTTGATTAAAAAAGAAAGCTGATGGAAAGAGTTTAACTGGCAGAGAAGAACATGTGTTACTTTATTATATTCTTGAATAATATCAGTGTTTTTCCTTGTAATCTATACTCATTGAAGCAAGATTCTTTTCTTCCTAGTTTTTGGTTCTACAACAGTAGAACAAAATTCACTCGACAGAAACTATCTAACACTGAAAAAAATGTCTAATGGAATATTCCAAGCGCATCTTAGTTGTACATGCCTTGGCTTGAACAATCCTTTACAGCCCTGCATGTTTCAACAAGCTATCTTTGGCACTGAAGTTGATATGTTTGAGACTTTGAGTCTACAAATCCTCTCCTTCCACTTGTGCTAGATAATGTTATTCATGTCATCTACGCTATAGTTACTAAAAATTGGTACACGTGCAGAATCTTATTTTGACTGCTTCCATAGGTGGTAAATAAATAATATTCATGTTACCTTCCCTGTAGTAACTAAAAAAAAACTGGTGTTATTATTTAGAAGATTATCATTGTTTATCTCTTCTATATTGACTCAGGAGGACATTTCAATAATTGAAATAATTATTTGTTTTAAACTACCCTCCTTGTTTTTTTCTTCTTCTTATCTGTTGTTGACCCGGGATGATATCAAACAGGTTATGGAATAGGAATATTATCATCATCATTTATAATAAAATTATTTTTAACTTCCTAATATTACCTATACTAATACGTCTCTCTCTCATTTATGACTGGTGGGCATAATTAAAAAAATAGTAATTATTATTGTCTTGAAATTTTAAAAGAATACATAAATAGAATTATTCTTTTCTTTCAAAAGTGGTCAAATAAAAAATGGAGGGAGTATTTTAGCTTTTGTCTTATCCTTACTTTGATATAGTAGCAATCAATGATATGTGGAAGTAATTCAAGTGAAGTTGTCAACAAATTTAACAGAAGGCAACTATGCTTGTATTATTATAAAAACTCATGTCTTACTTTAATTAACTTTAGAGAAAAGCACACCACTAATCCTTTTTAAGTTATTAAATTAAGCACTATGGAAGCACATGCTAAAAGGGGATCATTATTGAAAAAATTCCTCGGTGAAATGACCTAAAGTTATTTAACAATTATAATGTCATAGAGAATCGATTTTGATGTCATGAATTCAAGTCGATAAGGAAATTTATTCAGCAGAAAGCATAAATAAAAGCAAATTACAGTGATTTTGAAGCTGTTGGTTTCTTACTATACATATGGTTGTTAGTAGAATTACATCCATGAAGTTCTTAGTGAACAATTTTTCATATTATTAGTATAAGGTCTTGTTAATTGTTATATTTTGTTATGTCAATGCACAATGCACTCTGTTGATGCTTCTGTTGGCCTATTTAAATTTTCAATGTTTTCTTCCAAAGTTAACAATATTTTCTTTTGTGTTCTCTTCTTAGGGACTTGCAGCATTGACAACAACGGCACTAGCAAGGTCATGGCATCACAGAAACAGAACAATGTCTTCTTCATTTCTCTCTCTGTCTCTCTATTTAATTTCATTAGGACAAGGTGGATACAACCCTTCTCTGCAAGCCTTTGGAGCAGATCAACTTGGTGAGGAGGAAGAATTGCCTTGTAGCAAAGATGATAAATGTAACAAAAAAAAGACCCTATTCTTCCAGTGGTGGTATTTTGGTGTGTGTAGTGGAAGCCTTTTGGGTGTTACAGTCATGTCCTACATACAAGATACCTTTGGATGGGTACTAGGTTTTGCCATCCCTGCTGTTTCAATGATTCTGTCTATTTTGATTTTCTCTGGTGGAAGCCCTATATATTCATATAAACAAAATGATCTCTATCAAGCTAAAAAGCCCCTCATGAACATATTTCAAGCCATAAAAGCTTCTGCATTGAGATGCTTCCATTGTGAAATTACCCTACCAAATGACAAGTCTGAAGGGGCGGAGCTAGAGTAAGTTCCAGTTTCACATTAAAAAATTTTAGATTTTGACTTAATTGTACTTATAGTCTCTTATTATCATAGAAATTTAATTTTAGTCTCCATAACTTTTTGTTCTCATAAAGATGGTCCTCCAACTATTTTAATGGTTCAATTTTGATTCATCTATTAACTTAACATTCAATATTTAACCAAAATGTTGATGTGACACTTTTCTGCAATGTCTCATCAGCATATTCATATTGACATAACATTTCTTGCACTGTTGTGTCAAGATTTTTTTAGAGAATTGCTGTATCCTCTGAAATAAATTTCGAAATAGTCTCTGAAAGATTAAAATATTAATTTCTTTTAATAAATTTATTATAAAATAAATATTTAATTTAATATTTTATTTTTAAAATAATTTTTTAATAATTCAAAATAATTTTTGGAATATTTATTCAGAGGATCCAACATTTTTCTTTCTCTTACCAATGGTAACTTAAGTAGATAATTAAACTAAAATTGTACAATTAAAACATTATGAAAACCATATTCACCCAAAAAAAAGGGAGGGGGGACCAAGATCAAATTTAGAGGAATAAAAGCACAATTAAGCCTATATTTACTACTATTTCTTAAGCAAAGTGCTTACAACTGAATATTTATTTCTCGTGTCAGGCTTCAAGAGAAACCCCTTTGTCCCGAAAACTTGGAAAGCCTCAAGGAGTTGAGCAACGATCCCAAAAGTGGCATGTATCTGCTAGAAAATGCCAAGGTTATGCTGAGGCTCTTACCCATATGGACAATGCTTCTCATGTTTGCAGTGATTTTCCAACAGCCTGCCACATTCTTCACAAAACAAGGCATGACAATGAAGAGGAACATTGGAGCAGACTTCAAGATCCCACCAGCCACACTCCAAAGTGCTATAACACTCTCTATAATACTACTGATGCCACTCTATGACAAAATATTCATACCAATTACTCAGGTGATCACTCGCCAGGACAAGGGCATAAGTGTGATGCAAAGGATGGGAATTGGAATGGTTCTCTCAATCATAGCAATGGTCATTGCAGCACTGGTTGAAATGAGAAGGCTTGAGATTGGAAGACAGATGAGGAGTGAAGGGTCACATGCAGAAACAGTGCCTCTAAGCATTTTCTGGCTGCTACCACAGTACATTCTTCTTGGCATCTCAGACATTTTCACTGTTGTTGGCATGCAAGAGTTTTTTTATGGTGAAGTTCCAAGGACCATGAGGACAATGGGAATTGCATTGTACACAAGTGTTTTTGGGGTTGGAAGCTTTGTTAGTGCACTTTTGATTACACTGGTTGAAGTGTACACAGGTTCAAAGGGAATACCAAGCTGGTTCTGTGATGACATGGTTGAAGCACGCTTGGACAGTTACTATTGGCTTCTGGCATGGTTAAGTGGATTGAGCTTGCTGTTGTATGTACTCTTGTGTAAATATTACCTTAGGAAGAGTGATCCAGATAGTGAATACTGAGGTTGTTTTTTCTTCCTCTTTAGTTTTAAAGAGTTATCTCCCCTTTCCTTTTGGGCTAGAGTTTGTTGAACTTCTTGACATGATATTGAATAACAGTAATTGTATGATGTGTGTGTGTTTCTCTTGAGATTAAGAATGAAAAACTAAAAGTGAAGAAGGTAAAAACTAAAAAGAACTGACAATATATTTTGACAGACTAAATATTTTGCATGTTAATTTTATATACATTTTTTTACCACTAAATACATGGAATTTGATAGTATTATTTGAATTTAACTATTGGTGTTAAATTCAAATGTTGAATATAAAGTTGCATTAAATACTTAATTAAAGAAAGGTTTATCGTCTCTAATAGTCTTATTTAACTAGAACAAAATGGTATCTTGTAATGATACATATAGTTTGTAAAATAAAAAAATATACATATATATTTACCTTTTCATTTTCACTCAATCAAGCACATCAATATCTTAGGAGAATTAGATGTGTTGAATTGACTATCTCTTCAAAAAACATATACTTAGTTTTAACAAGTCTTAAGTTCAAATTATATTGTTATTATTCGCTATTATATTTTTTACATATATAAAAAAGACTTATTTAAAGTTAAAAATTTGTGACAACTTCGTCTTGAGATAGATATTTTATCTCCATGTGAGTTCAAGGACAATGAAGATATATAGGTAGCTAAATCAATAGGCTAATTAAGGAGAAGATTAAATGCATAGACAACTTAGATTAATAGGCTAATTAACAAGAAGACTAAAGATATTTATCATAAAATATGAGATTTGTGTCTAATTATTTGGACCATATATATAACTAGTGGATGAGAGATTTTCAAAATAAGCCTTTTAATTAACACTACAATTTTTATCAATTATATATTCTATTTTGGTAACATCTCAAATGTGAAGTTTGTATAATTGTACACCTATAACTTGTTTAATAACATTTCAATAACAAATAGTCGGATGAATCTAATAATAATTGTTAAAATAAACTCTAAAATATGAATTTATACCTAATTTAACCTTAAGAACCGATTTCCTAGAAAATAAGTAATTTGGTGATACTAAAAATCAATTCTAATTTGACACAAACCTTTTCATAATCTTCTCTTAATAGCTATAAACTCTCATGATAACATACAATATTCATTATAAACATTAAATAGGATAGGTATTGTTGAAATTTATTCATATTTATAAAATAAACATAATTTTGATGTTGAAATGTCATATAAAATATAACATGCATGTTGGAATCAAACTTTTTATATAATTCACTAGAAGACCCTAAAATTAAGCCAATGAAAAAAAAGAGTATATCATTAAGCATCAAATCTAGCTAGGTAAAAGTCATTGGACTCAATTTAATAATAAGAATTGGAATAATATACACATAATCATAAATTTGAATCTTAATGTCATTCTTACAATTTTGATTATCGTCATTGTAATTATGATAAATAAAAGTTTTTTTTAATATAATTGAAGACTTCTGGCCAGAAAATATATACTGACTAATGGGAGGGGGATTTGGAGTTCCAGCATGATTGATTCGACTGCAGAGTGGATATGCTTGGAAGTTGGAATATATATTTTTATTATAAAAAGAATAAGTGGGTGGGGTCCACAATGTCCTAATGTGGATTGTCCAATGTCCATAATCTCCAAAGTTAACATTTTTCTGAATTTTGTCGGTCAATGTTTGAATTGAGCCTCACCAACCCAAAGAATGTTCCTTATCTTTAAGGTCCTATGATTGCCCTTGGTCATGTCCTTGGTGGACTCCTTTCATGCAATAATAATTTATTATTTATATATAATAAGATTTCACTAAGGAATGTGTCAGAGGCATTAGGGACAATAACATGTAATGTATTTTATCGAATATTTTAACTACTTCAATCATAATATATTAAGTAGTGTTTTTATTCTCTTCAAAAAAAAAAAAAGTAGTGTTTTTATTTTTATTTTAACATAATTAATTTTTAGTAAATCTTACAAGCATTTTATCTTTAATACTTATTTGGATTAATCGATAAGAAATTGTTTCCACCTAACTGATAAATAAGATTTTGTACTTAAATATTATATAGAAAAAAATCTACAAGAAAGTTAATCTTATCATATATTATTTGTAAAAGATTTTTATGTTTTACAGAACAAATAAACGATAAAATATCATACATTTTATGAAAATATAAAATGATATTAAATTTGAAGAACATAATTATATATGTTCTCTACCAATTAATGAGACCTAGTTCAATAATTAATTGAATAATACGTGAGCGTAGTAAATTTGTGGTACCAAATTCTAATTCTTATAAATCAAAAGAAATATCTTCTTCAATCTTCACCATAAAATTTATAGTAAATCTCTAAAATTATTCATTAATCATCTTGAGAATCATTTTTAAATGATATTTGACTGAGTTCCACCTATAATCTAAACTAATAATGAAAGGGATATCTCTTTTGATATCCATTTTTATTTTAGACAATTTCAACTCCAATTTATACAAACCTTTTCTAATTCTCTCTCACAATTCATCTATTATTATATTTTAAGTCTACTATTATATTTTAAATCGTTTACAAATACTTTTTCATCTTCCTTAAAAAAAATAATTTCATTTTTAAATAATAATATATAAAGTTACAAATTTTTTTTGCCTCTAGTGAGCATAAAACTCACACACTTTGATAATTTGACAATATTTGTTTGAAAGTCAAGGACATGGAAGCCATTATGACAATAATTACGTACCTTAAGGTCACAATTCAAAGTTAAATATACCACAAAAAGAAAAGAATAAAACAATTAAAGACTTTACCATTGAAGATTGCTTAGAAAAATTAATTAGTACTACATGTGCAAACAAGATATTTCAATAATTCATCATTTAAGAGCTTTATAATTAATCATGTTGAAGTAATTTAATATAAATGATCTTTTCAAAAGATTTTTAGTGAATGAAGACAAAACGCATAGTTTTTTTTTTTATAGGTTCAAGGATATTCATTTTTTCCTAAAATCAAAAGTGATAAAATATTTCAATAAGGATTATCACTACAAAAAAAATAACCTATGCCTACAGACACTTTTACCTATAGACCTGAATTAGTATAGGTAAAATTAAAAAAAAAAATTTACCTACATCCTCCATGCCGGGGATAGGAATGAAGGTATCATCGCCCCCCTGAACCTTGCGGACCTGAGCATTGGTAATGAGCAAAGGAGTGCCCTGAGTAGGAGTGACAGTGGCCATAGTGGATGCAGCGGTTGTGGCTAAGATAGGAGTAGAGGTAGAGGCAGCAGCAGGAGAAGTTGTAGAGATCACAGCAGCGGAGCTGGAAGCAGCAGAAGAGGCCATTGAGTCACAAGAGTAAAGATTGTGAGAAGGAACGCAGGGTTCGCCGGAGAAGAAAGCACAGGATTCACCGGAGAAGAAAATCTAGAGAAAAGGCAGAGAGAAAGCAAAAGAAGCTTGGGCGCGAAGAAAAACAATGGTAAAAATGAGTTTCACGCGAGGTAAAAAGGGTTTTAATGGGCCTAAGGTAAATGAGCCCACAGGGAAAAATTCAAATTAAATGATTGTAACAGCCGCCAAAATATTTCGGTAACAGTAAAAAAACAGGAAGCACGCGCCGTTTCTGCCATTAATATCGCTGCAACGGTCATATACATTCAATGCGAATCCAGAAACGAGCCAGACTAGGGTATCATCGAAAAAGGTGCTTCAAGTAAACGTACTTCAAGTAAATATACAGGGATTCAACTCTTTAAATGTACAGGAATTCGACTTTCTTTATATCGATACATATATCAAGATCGAATTCCTAGGGGGGCACTTGTTGGACCCACTCGAGAAACTACAAACAAGTCGAAACAATCATGTAGATTCCTCGAAAAATGATATGAAGATGGACACCTTCCGGTGGCAAATATTCGAGATCGAGAAGAGTTGTGCTCGAAAACTAGTAAAAGTGTAGTACCAATGGTCACATGAAGGTGGTCAAACGTCTAAATCGAGAAGTTAACATATGTGTGGACAGGTAGGTCGAGAGGTTAATATGAACGTGGGAGGACGGTTAAAGGAAGTTATAACTCAAGACCACGTAGCAAGCATAGTGGATAGCAGTTATGAGTTAGAGGTGTACGTGCACAAAATTAACCGCT